ACGTGTGGCCTTTCGGAGCAGCCCTGACACTGCTCTCTGTGCAGGTGGATCTGGGGCACTTGTACGGGGACAACCTGCAGCGGCAGCACCAGCTGCGACTCTTCAGAGATGGGAAGCTGAAATTCCAGGTACCAACCGGAACATCTCTCAGCCCTGTGCTCCAGGGTTGTTTGAAGCCCACGTCCCTCTGGCAGCTACCAGGGCAGAGACTCCCAGGAGTGTCAGGAGACCCCAGCCCTGCGGGAGACCCCAGCCCTGGTGCCCCATGGGCAGCACTGCCAGGGTCCCCTCAGTAGCTGCTGCCCAGAGGGATGAGCTTTGGGGTCGAGCTGTTCTGACAGCAGCAGGCATCCCGTGGTCAGGGCTGGTTGAGGGGGGTGTTTCCATCCTGCTCAGTGCTTGCAGGAGCGTGGCCGTAGTGCCTGTAGGGAGGCAGGTCTCAGCCGGACAGGCTTTCATCACGTAGTTTTCTCCCCTCCTTCCTTTCTGTCATCCCATTCTTGCCTCCCCAAGGTGGTGGATGGAGAGGTGTACCCCCCCATGGTCACTGATGCCCCGGTTCACATGGTCTACCCGTCTGCCATCCCCAAGGAGAAGCAGCTGGCGATGGGGCAGGAGGTGTTCGGGCTGCTGCCGGGGCTCTGCGTCTATGCCACGCTCTGGCTGCGCGAGCACAACCGCGTCTGCGATGTGCTCAAACGGGAGCATCCCACCTGGAGCGACGAGCAGCTCTTCCAGACGGCTCGTCTCATCCTCATCGGTGAGGACCAGCGGTGCCGCAGGGCACGGGCGCCGTGGAGCCCTATGTCCCACCTCCCCGGGCAAGCCCCCAAGCCTTGGGCGTTCGTTGGTGGCCGTGCTGGCTTCAGAGGCTGGAGGAGTTGCCCTGGCAGCTGTCTGGGGATCGTTGCCTTTGCCATATAGAAAAAATTGGCTTTGGTCCATCAAAAAAAAGAATTATGAATATTTTTGTAATAATTTTGAGTTATTTCATGTTAATGTTCATTATAAATTTACTACAATCTCACGAAAGGTAATTTTTGAGCCAAAATCCAGAAAAAAGCTATGTCATCACATGATCTCTAAGAAGCAGATCACGGTTGTCTTCCTCAGGAACCGTTTCGGTTTTGGCAGACTGACCTCTGCTAGTGAAAAAATCATTACTTGTCAAACTCCAAGCCCGTAGTCAGAAGGGTGCCTGGCAGCGGGTGGGTGCTGGGACACGCTGCCATAGCACGTGGGTAATCGTGAGGGTACAGAGCCGGTAGCTCCTGCTGCTGCCAGCTGACGGCTGCTTCTCACCTCCTGCCCAGGGGAGACCATTAAGATTGTCATCGAAGACTATGTCCAGCACCTCAGCGGGTACTTCCTCAGCCTCAAGTTCGACCCCGAGCTGCTGTTTGGGACGCAGTTCCAGTACCGGAATCGCATCGCCGTGGAGTTCAATCAGCTCTATCACTGGCACGGGCTGATGCCCGACTCCTTCGTCATCCAGGGGGAAGAGTACAGCTATGAGCAGTTCCTCTACAACACCTCCATGCTCTTGGACTACGGCGTGGAGGCGCTGGTGGAGTCCTTTTCCAAGCAGGCTGCAGGAAGGGTAAGGTTCTGCTCTCCCCTCCCTGCCAGCAGCATCCCAGGAGGGATGCTCACGGTACCAGTAACAGCACCAGGTACCATTATCACTAACGAACATTGCTATTAGCAGCGGGTCGTGTGTCACACGTAGAGCCTTCTACACCCCCAGCACGCACACCGTGGGTCCCCCTGCACGGACTGCAGCCAGCCTGGGCCTTGGCAGCCCTGTTCGCTTGCTCTGGGGACCCAGCAGTGAGCATCGCGGTGAGACCTGGCATCTCCTGGCCCAGGTGGGCTGTGGAGCAGCCTGGGCATGGGAGCAGCTTGCCTGGCACTGTTCTTTGCTGCCATCACATGGATGTTTCCTTCCCAGCGACTACAGCTACATTTTGACCCTCTACTGCTGCAGAGCAGCAAGGCTGAGGTGCAGACCTGCTGCTCCTCAGGTTCCCGCTGTCACCCTAAAGCCCCGTAATCTCTCCCCTCCTCCCAAGCCAGTGGGTCACTGTCCATCCTGGGCTTCTGCACCGTTCCCTGATCTGCCCTGGGAACAGGAATGGTTTTACCCAAGCTGCTCTATAGCTTTTTTTTTTGCAATATCCACGGATTCCTGCTCTTCTCGCTGCTGTGCCGATGTGCTGGTCACACACCATGCCCAGGACTCGGATGCTTTTGTGCAGGGTGGTGGGCCCACGGTGCAGCTTCCCAGGAGCAGATGCTGGCGCTGCCTTGTGCCTTACATGTGCTTCTCCCTGTGTTCTCGCCCTCCAGATCGGTGGGGGGCGAACCATCAACGCCAATGTCTTGAAAGTGGCCGTTGGGGTCATCAAGGAATCCCGGCAGCTGAGGCTACAGCCATTTAACG